GGGGGGGGTGTGCGTGTATACACACACATATACATATATGCACGGCACATTATATTTACCACCTAGACTAACTAGTCATGTACGGCACTTTATAGCAATTAAAGTGTATCCCTGACGACAAACGCGAACGTGCAACGTGTGTGTTGTTCTTTGACTATTCTTGCTTTAAATAGGGAAAGAGAGAAAGAGAGAAAGAAAGAAAGAGAGAGAGAGAGAGAGAGAGAGAGAGAGAGAGAAACGCATAGAATTCACTATACTAGTGCAATCGATAACGATCGAACGACGTCCCATGATCGTTGATTCCCAAGCAAATTTATCAATTTCGACTTTGCCGTAAAGTTCACCCAGCTCGAACGCTGTGCGCACACGCGATTGTGAACGAATTCCACCGGGAAAACGTGAATTTTGCCGTAGACCCGAACATATCATTTAAATAACTTACACGTGTATCTCATTAAAAGGCAAACAACATGCAACACTTGTGTATGTGTAAGTTCTATTATCCATTGTCATTATTATCTATTAAAGAAGCATGGTATCGCCGCAACGTAGGTATTTACACGCATCTATGACGCCTTTCTTGATGACAACAATGCAATATTATGAAGTTAATATTGAATTATATGCTTTATTATCCAAATATTTGACGCATATATAATTTTAATTTAACATGTGAGTATGTTGATAATCAATACATATAGAGGGAAATTTAGATTTCGTTCAATCTATAATAATCACAATATCAATAATATTTATATATCCTCTCATGATGAAATTATATTTAGATTTATAATCACGTTAAATTAATTTAATTGAACTCATCGTTAAGTTAAAATTTTATTATAAATCTAAATGTAATAAATCTTAATTATAGCAACGTATTGCGGAAAGAAATCTCCGCGCCAAGTTTATAGAATGCAACGATGTACTTTTCAGATGCTACACATTATATTTATTTTGATTTATAGCTCCAGACAATCCGCGTATCGTTCATACATTGTAAAGAAACCAATCGCTTTATATCAGATTTAAATGCCCCGGCATGGAATACACAACCCAATACAGAAAAGTAAGATGACCCGATTTCCTAGCCCCGAATCCGGGATACTTCATAAATGTATAAAAGAGGGGAGTAAAAAAATCCGAGGAATCATTAAAAAAGAGTGAAGAAATTTGAATCTGAGTTAAAAATTATTGAAAAATAATATGGAGAAATTTACGCACGAAACGTGAGAATCTCGTACATACGTTTGAATGTATATTAAATGTCTTGAACTAGCGTAATCAGTTCAGCTAAAAAAAAAACGGTAAAACAGACTATCTGTTTTACCGGTACTTACCGACTTTCCCCTCGTCGATAAAGCAGCGATCTCAGTCTCGTGGAGCCATCTCACGATGAACACGCAAAACCTTATCAGCCCCACTTTTTCTCGGAACCCGCGTAGCATGAGCGGTTCCCGGAATCTCGGATTATTGGCAACTGTTTAAGTCCACTTTGTTACCACGAAAAACATGCCAAATCGCTCGCCCGTCGCTGCCACTGATAGTCCACGCGCGAGACTCGCCTTCGGATTGAAAAATGTTCCGAGAAAATGGCACTTCGAAACGACACGATACGACATGCGAGCGATAGTCCGTTCGACCCTCCCGGTGGATGACTTCGCGAGATACTCGCGACCGTCGGCTGCCCGACGTTATTCACGTCGCCACGAACGCGCGAAGCTATTTTTCGGCATTCCCGACGATGATTCGCGATTCTAACGAGCCGAAATCGTCAGAGTTACGGCGCAGCAGCTTACGATTACTGACTTGCCACGGCCGTTATGAACATCTCAACGAATGAGAAACTCGGAACAGCTCGGTTCCGCGCGATACTTCACTCGGCAGCCCGTAACGGTCGATCGCGCGGAATGTGCGATTTTGGCGAATATTCGGCGAAATTTCGCCACAATGAGAGCACGAAACTCGCTTACCGCACTGACTTCGATGTTTCGTGCGTGATATTAGTCTCTGGAAGGTCGAAAATGCAAGCAAGCAGGTACACGGCATACGGCGGTGCAAACGAGCCTCCATGATCCAACGAACTTGTTGCCTGCCGACGGGTCATTTCGCCACACACCCGCTCTCAGTGTCTGTCAAGCGATAATTTATCGCGACAAACGCGCGAAACTCGCTTCCGGCACTCCCGGCGACGATTCGGCGGACGAAACTCACCCCGGGTGAGGAAAATCGCGACGAATGCTGAACGGATTTACGAATGCCCGCGCGCCACGAACCGTTCGGCAATCTACTGAACGTTGCAGCGATTGAGTTTCTCGAATACTTCGATAAGTTCGGTGCGCATGTGCGCGCGATCCCCTTGGTTTAAATAATTATCAGTGTTGAATAGTAAATAACTTTTAACTCAAACTTTCTCTTTTAAACTTTTAACTTTGATAAAGCTAATTTCATTTTAACTTAACTCTTAATTAAGTTATTTTATTAATGTAACTTTTAATGTAAACTTAGTTAATTTACAGCGATCAACTTTTAACTTAACTTGGTTAAAAGAAAAAATTAACTTAGCCGACCCTAATAATTACAATAATTCGAAGTTAATTAGATCAAGTTATTTATGGAATTCTATTAAATATTCACCGGGTCGAAATTGTCACATTTTGCGACTGTCACATTGATAAAATCGCTGTGATCGGAAACATCGATACGTCGGTGCACGAGCGGCGACCAATGAGAGACCTCACTTCCTAGGGTCTTAGTTGGGGATATTTCTTTCTGTAGTAGACGACGTACAATCAGCTGTTGCTTTAAACTTCGGTCGGAGCCAGAAGAAAGAAATAGTGCGTGGCGTTGTGGCTTGAAAAAGGCAAATATTCCGAAAGGAATATAAGAATTCCAAAAATAATAAATATGAGTGTGAATGAATCCAAGTAGACTGAGTGATGTCAAAGTTCGAAGTCGAATAATTATGTTGAATATGTATAAAACGAGAAAACTTTGTTAAGATGCACGATTCTTAAATTTATAAAAAGGATTTGAATCCTGTATATTTTATGTATATTTTATGTATTTGTATATTTCTCCGCCAATTGCGAAATTGTGCTCTCTACTTAAATAGGACGATGGTTGGAATATTTTTAAAAATATATTCTCAAGATTATTTAACGTGATTTTTACAATTATGTAATAGTTGACTAGCACAAAATGTTTTACGTTATTCCACCAAATGGAGAGGTACCTTTTTACATTTTAGAAGATTGTGTTTTAACCAGACTAAATTATTTAAGGCGTTTGCATGAAGAAACTACTGATGAATTCGATGGCAAGTTTGAATATTTATTAGAAAATTCTGCTTATGATGAAATTGGACACTTTGTGCTAAGGTATTCACATATCAATTAATTATTTTTAATAGCATATAGTAAATTTTATAGTACAATTTATATAAAAATTCATATATCTGTTTTGGATTATTTATTATTTTCTGTTTCAGATTATTGGCTTGTGTTTCCTCAGATCTATGGATATACTGGATTTCCAAAGAATCATTGTTATTTAGACATAGATTAGACAATACATCACCTAGACAATTATATAAATTATTCAAACAAATTATATGGAGAGTGCAGTTATACAAAGGTCATGGTAATGCAACTGAAACAACTCTGATTGAGTTCTGCAAATTCTACTCGCAACCGTTGACTTTCAAACATCTGGTATCAAATTGTCAAAATTGTAATGAATTTGTATATAAAGGTATGTACAGGTATATCTATTTACACATATATGTGCAATTTATATTAAACAAAAATTTTGTGACACTGTATTTACAAATTTCAGTGAAATTTGAGATAGTACCAGACCTGGTAAAAGAACGGGAACTAGTCCTTAACAATGGATATGTTATTACACCCTGTTCAACTTGGAAGAAAGTACTTCAGTCCTTATTCTGTACATATTTAATCAATGAATTGAATCTCATGAAGAAACAGGCACAGTACACTGTGAAACGTGATCTGAGATTACAATTTTTGAGTGAAAAAGTTCAGTCTTACCTTTTCAAGGAAGGCACTGTTCACGGGAGAATAACCATCGGGAACATAGATGCAGAGTCGGAAAGATTTCCGCCGTGTATGCGACATTTGCATTCCGTGTTAAAAAGCAGACACCGTCTTAGTCACTATGCGCGCTTGTACTATAGCCTGTTTCTAAAAGAGATCGGGATGAAACTGGAAGATTCAATCGCATTTTGGAGACAGGAATATTCCAAACCACATACCTGTGCCTCAGTATGTTCGCACAATTGGCAGGCCAACGAGAAGAAATTCGTGTACAGCATTAGACATATGTACGGTTTAGAGGGATCCCGAAGAAACTATAGAACACCCGGTTGTGATCAAATTTGCGTGAGTGTGAAGATAACTTGAAATCTTATAAAACACAAATTTTAACATTCAGATAGTTCATTTACTCATTTTTTTAATGTTGCAATCTTTGCAGGCAGGTATCAGCGGGACAACATACGAGGGTGGTTGTCCTTTCAAAGATTTTGATGTGAATACACTTAGAAATCTTCTACATGCTTCATTAACTGAAGATGAAACAGAGAAGCTCTTAAATAATGTAGCTATTAAAAGTCCGGAAATGCTTTGCACAGGATTTTTAAAACTTGTACGCAAAGACAACGCTGACAATGCCGCCGTCAATAGTCCAGTGCAGTTTTATCAAAGGATAATTGGTTAATATGAATTTCGCGTTCTGTTGTTAATACACGACAATTTTGTTTTACAAAATAAATATTTATTAAAGATTACATAAATTAAATGTACAATATTTAATTAAAACGATCTAGTATGTTAAGTAATCATCGTTTACTGAATGCTCTTAACGACTCTTCTAACTGATGAAGAGTCACACCATCTGTGACCAGCACAGCATGCACGCCAAGTTTGGCCACGTCCACGATATTTCTGTGCTCATCGTCAAAAAAGAGCATGTCCTTGTAATCGGTTTTAGAATTCTTATGGATGCTAAAAGCATTATAGCTCAATTAATTTATATATTCTTCGAGAATGCTGTGCAACAATGAGGAGGCTTTGTATAAAACTTACTTGGAAAAATGTGTAACCTTGCTACCAGGAAAAATTTCAATGTACTTGAAGTATTTGTCCCAGCCGAACAGATGTAATAATTGTTTGGCACCTTTTATTTCTGTAGTACGTGATGCTATACCAAGTTCATATCCTTGGTCGAATAATTGTTTTAAAACATCAGGTACATCAGAATAATATTTTATGCTATGACCTTGTAAATCTACTATTTTATCAGACCTAAAATTACACTTTATTTAAATTGGAGGAATTATTAAGATGTTGTATTATTTTCTAACTACAAAAAAGATTATACAAACTTTTTCTTGAATGGAGGAGTTACATGCGTATCAACCCAGAATGGCCACAAGGTATAATCTGAAATATTATATCTTTATTTAAGGGAATTATTATAAACAAAAAAAAATACATATATAAATATATATATATATATATATATAATTACCTAAATCGAAGACAACAATCTTCGGTTTTTTCTCCATACTTGTCTACTGGTTAAATGACTATTTATTGTGCAGCGTAACTCAGAAACTAAATGATTGCTAAAAATATGCCTTTTAAATAAAGAGTCAATCAAGTAATCAAGAGTTTTGATTACTTCCTGTTTAGGTCAAAGATAAAATTATAATATCTATGACTATTTTGGCACTTGAAACACACACATATATATATATACACACATTTGATACAAAATCATTACATATAGCTAGGCATAAGTTCAACACGGAAATCCCTATGTTGAAATGGAAGGTGCAAGGAAATGGAAACGGAATTTTTATTAGCACTTATTTGCATTAACACAGGGCCGTTTCATTGGCTGTATATCATCTTCAGATAACGCTGTCCTTAGGTTTGCTCTTTATAGTAGAATTGGCTGCACTAGTTTAAGTAAGGCGAGTTCTACTTAACGCTCGCAACGACGCAACTAACTAAAAACGCACGAACATCGAACTAGCGCGATGATTGTTGACCACTGAAGCGTTTACCCACTAAAGCTAGAGATGCGTTCGGGAATCTACACTACTACTTGTTGTTTTGAAACACCTAGGCCACATTTGGAAATATCACTCTTTGGTATGTTTGCGTGACTTTAGTGATTGAAATCACAAATCACAAAAGTACACCAAAAAGCGATATTTCTAAATGAAGCTTGGGTGTTTCAGAACAGCTGGTGCTTAGTGGTTTGCACACAATGTGGATTCTTGAACGCAACTTTTGCCCGTATCAGACTACGAATTAAGATCGAGATTGGATTGCAATTTAATCAATCAGAGCAAAGTTCACTAACTTCAAGTTTAGTAAATTCTTTTAATCTGATTGGTCAAATTTTAATTTTAATTATCATATATTTCATCTTTTTCCATTGTTCAATATGTTCAATCACACTATTCCTAATTTTTATTCTTAATATTTAATATTTATTCCTAATATATTTCCATTGTGCGCGCAGGTCCTTAAAGTTTATTGCATCTATTATAAACCCGGCCTAAATTCTCCACTCGTTCGAAGGCGGCGCGACTTGAGCGACAGCCAATCGTCTTCCACCGCTTCGTACTATTTCCGGAAAAACGAGAGGTCGCCTAGGCCATTGAGTGAGCCACACGTTATTCCTCGGCATTGCCGCGTTTTGTGTGCAGGAACTACTAGCGCAGGCCTGTGTCGCTCGCATACACGGTGATCGCGTCAATTCAATCATCTAAGCTCGCCAAGGCGGTTGAGGAGGAACGAGTCGCTTGGAAACGAAATTCGTGCTACACAGCGGTGTACAAGTTTACACAGGCACGTTATTGTTTATTGTCTCCGTGTGCCCGGCACCGATATAATATCGACTGCTCACAGACGGGACATGATCCTCGACGATCGCCGATAGTCGCCCGACGAGCAATCGTGTCGCGCTGGTTCGATGCTCGTGCGTTTCTCGTTAAATTTACGACGCTTCTGCATTCACTGCGGCTTTGTCTATATTGTTTAGTATTTCGGCCGAGAGGCGCCCACAATTTCCACCTAATTCTGAGACCAAGAATCCTATTCTTGCAAGTTGTGGGAGAGAATAACCGATATTTACGTTTTTTTTCCGCCAACGAATCTGTGTGCTCCCTATGTTTGCCCGATTATGTGCCTGATTGTGGTAAATTGCAAGCGTAACTTTCTGAATCGTAGTTAGACGGTAACCTTGTATTGGTTATGATTCCGAACAGTTAGTCGTACGTCTATGATAGAGGTCGAGCGATAAGTGTGGATATACAAAGTACACTTAGCAAATGTGTATCTTTACTAATTTAGGAATAAATTAAATATACGTCTTTTATTGCTGCATACATCAATTCATTTCTTCTTTATTTCATCAGAAGAAATGCACAATTGTACACACATTTTATATATATATATATATAATTTTTTTTAACCAATAATTTTTAGTACACATAAAGATGCAATTTTCTCTATATCTGACTTTTTGTGGATCAGAATGTTTATTTAAATTGAACATGTGTGTTATCTTGTTTCAGAAATGTCGGAATCTGATCTTTTAGCTAGCGATCATATTGATGGTTTGGATGGTCTTGAAAATGGTCAAGATGGAGATGCCATCATGCAGTGTGATGGTGTAAAACGTGAAATAAATGAAGCAAATGTTGACGATCCTGTGAGTCATTACTATTTTCTAATACTATTTTCTTATTTAGGAAACCATATTTATTTTGAAGTTAAATATCTTCTATAATGTAGGAGCTGGAGGCTATAAAAGCAAGGGTTCGAGAAATGGAAGAAGAAGCTGAAAAATTAAAGCAGCTTCAATCTGAGGTGGATAAACAGATGAACATGGGTAGTCCTCCTGGTATTAGTAAGTTTGCAAATTTACAGTTGCATTTGTTGACAAAACAATGAGATATATATATATATATATATATATATATATACATGAATAAATAGATATTACAATTATCATTGTGATGACATTTGTTATTTAATTTTTTCCAGCAAGCCCATTAAATATGTCTTTGGAAGACAAAATGGAAGTTGATAACCGATCTATCTATGTTGGCAATGTAAGTACATTACGTCACACATATGTCACAATATTTCTAATGCATAATATTGCGTAATATGTGATATAATGCATAAGTTGTTGGAGTTAATACTTAATTTTTTTCAAACAGGTTGACTATGGCGCCACAGCAGAAGAATTAGAGCAACATTTTCATGGTTGTGGAAGTGTCAACAGAGTGACAATTCTGTGTAATAAATTCGACGGTCATCCTAAAGGTTTCGCTTACATTGAATTTGCTGAACGTGACTCTGTACAAACCGCGATGGCCATGGATGAATCTATGTTCAGAGGACGTCAAATTAAAGTAATGCCGAAGAGAACGAATAAACCTGGCTTCTCTATGACAAACAGGTAATATTTTATTTAGAGTATTATAATTACAATTCCAGGCCACTCACAATTCAATCAATTACAATTACAAATACATGCAAATTAGATCCGTGACTGACTCTTGACGTCCTTTGTTATATCATTTGATTTCTAATTTCATATGTATGCTTGCAGGGGTCCCAGAGGTGCACGAGGTTATCGAGGTATGACTAGAGGAATTATTCGCGGAAGCGCATATTTTGGATACAGACCTACTAGGCGGCCTAGGTAATGATCGATGTTGTCTCGGCAATTGTCGCTACTGGAGGATGTAAATAATAATCATTTTATAATTTTTCTCTGCAGGACTTACAGACGTGGATATTATATGCCATATTGACCATTTTAAAGCACGATGACGTTCTACAAATGTCCAGGTAAGTTTTTATTCAAGATTATGTACACCGTGACACGCGTTTTTCGTTCAAAGAAAGATTCTCGGTAAAAAAATTTGTTATCGTTCTTATTATCGTTCAAGTGCCACTTGGTTCATCTTATGTCGAGGGTGTCTTGTGATTTCTCAAGTATTACGGGAAGATGATAAGTTGCAGAAGCACTTTTTGCATTGCAACGAGAACGTTTCTTTGAACAATATGACTTTCGTACATTTTGTTACCACTCACAAGGAAGGACCAGAAATAGTTGTGTATCGTAGTAATTCTGACGAAGTTGTGATTAACAGATTGATTCTGATGTCGAATGAAACGATTCGGATAGCTATTAATAATCTTCCGTCGTAAAAAAAACCATTAAAAGATTATGCTGGTCATTTCTTAACACGACACAGACGGCAAACCTATTGACAGTGATCATTATTTGATTTAACTTTTGGTGTACTACTCTGATGTATCTACATGATCGAAGTTGTAACCTGATGATTTATATGTCCAATAAAACTAGAGTCACGAAGAAGTTCACGGTTACTTATGGACTTTATTTATTGGATATAACGAAATATGATATCTAGATACATTAGTATTGACACTTGGCCATAAAGAAAATCTATACCGTATAAAAGATAACATATGAAATGTCGTGAGAGAGAAATTGTGGTTTTACTTTTTCGTATTGAATTTTTCACCGTTTTTGTTACAAGGAAATTGTTTACCGTTTTTCAGTAATGTCAACTGAATATGAATTACTTGTGTGCGTATAGATTGGAAGTATAAAATATGGCCTTGTGAGACGTAATATTACGGATTGTAAGTTTTTTTGTGGAACACTTAACAGTTGCCACAAAAAACTTACAAGCACATTTGTCATCATGCATTCTACTGAGAAGCGGCTGAGATATTTAAGTAAAGTAAATTCTTATCATATGTCCACAGAAAAAAAAACGATGGGAAAAAAAAGAGAAAAACATCATGTCAAAAGAAAAAATTAAGAATTGGAGAAAGATGGGCACAATTAAAGATATTTGATTTAATGAGATCATCATATAAAACTACAGATGTAGGTCAGCGATCATTCACTATTGTAGTTCAATCAGTTAAGAATTTCAGTAATGATATACGCCAAATTCTGTTGAATTCAGTTAGACCATTCATATCAGCCTTGGAATCTATTTTCAGATTGTTTTATTTTTTACAATTTATATATGCTTCGATTGTATATTTTTGTGTGGGGAAATATAAAATATTTATATATTAATTATGATAGCAAAAGCAGAGAGAAAGAGAGAGAGGGGAGAGACGATCGATTTTAGTTAGAGAGTTCGGTTGAAATTACGTGAATTAGATGAATTCGATTATCGATCATCTTTACCATCATTGTATGCACGTGCAAATTACGCACATAAAAGATTCAATAGCGTAAACACTGCGTCATTAATTTTGTATGAAAACAATATTAAATGTTTATTCACGACAAAAAAAAAAGTATATTCTTAGTACGTGGTTCACACACAAACTGTTATCCTTATATAATATATTATTGAGTCCGCACTTCAGGCGTTCTATAATTCGTGATAGCATTCGAGATAGAATTCTATTTATAATTTAACGCGTAACGAACACTTGAAGATTTGCAGATGCATATGTAAGTGCATCTGCAAGACGCAAACCCGATTCTTCGAATGTTTCCTCACAAGTGGAATTCTCTTGCGGATCCCGTCTCGAATTACGGATCGTCAGAAGCGAACTTTGGAGGTGGGAGATCAGATGCGCTCTAAAAAGTATTGATAACATCCTCAGTGTGTTAGATAGATAAAAGTATCTCTTATGAGTACTTCCCCAAGTACAGTATGTGCAATATATAATTGAAACTCTGTAGTGCAATAGGATTATCAAAACGATTAAAATCGGGAAGAAAAGTATCTGGAAGTGTAACCTTGAGGTATGAGAAAAATGTTGTAGAGTATCTTGAAATTTAAACGTCACGCGGATATTTCGATGCTATTTATATTTGACGTACTTGAAAAGTACTTGAAAAGTATGAGTACAATCCGGAAGATTTCGTCGTATCGATTCCACGAAAGCTCGAAACGCATTCGAGTGTATTCCGACACCTGGCTGTGTTTTTTCGAAGTGTCCATAGGAGATACTCCAACATCCACACGGACGATGGCGATATGATTCAGGGTGCACTTGATCCCCCACTGCTTGACCGTAGTAAGCTCTTTACGGGTTGAGTGAATAAATAATTTTTATAAATGCTAAGTAAATGATAATACGAGTCCACTAAGAATCGACTGAAATTCAAAAGTGCATATTAAATTTAGCCCCGTTCCTATATAGCATCTTTTAAAGATATGTATAAAAGTTCCCTGGCAATTATTGAGATACACTTGAAACCAAGATAAACTGAAAAGTACTTTGATATCGAGAAGAAAGAGAAAATTAATAGCTACAACATCAAGTTTATATATACCATATAAGCATGTTCGTATTATAGCGTAGTCTCTTTTTTATATAAAACGATACAGATAATATATAACTGTAGGGATAATATAGTATAATATCTACGTGTTATTAAGGCTGATACACACGGCGGATGTGTGACCATGGCAAATAGAACAGGAAATTGTCCGAATATTAATATCGATATATTTTAATTTATCATTTTACAGTCGCTATATATGTTTATGTCGCCTGCTCTGGATATAAAAAAAAAAGTGCACCGTGTCGCTTCGATCTCATAGTGTTGTCACGAGACGATGATTAAAAGAGAGAAAAAGGAAAAGAAAAAAAAAAAGAGGAGAATTGAACTACAAAGTGAATGTTTAGAATAATATCATATAACGATAATTTGTAGTGAATTTTGTATGCATGATAAGTGAAAGTTGCGCCAGTTGCGAATTATTACTTCAACGCCGCTTCGTTGTATGACACACGCTGCATTTGTATACTTCTTTCCCGATCGTACATGCAACTTTCATTTATTCGATAATAACTAACTATACATCCTCAGTTCAATCTGAAACACATTATTGCTACTAATGATTTGTAAAATGCGTGTAAAAAAAAAACTTAATGTTTCTGAGACTGTGCTAAGGTGTTAGGGGGAGTGCCGAATTTCAACACATTATTCGATCGAGCCACATTTCGTAATGTTACTTCCATGTCGCTAAGTATTTTGCAGGTGCGGCGCAGCATCAGCATCAATTGAGTGCTAATGATACAAATTTCATGAACAATTTTTACGTTTCATTAAGGAAAAGAAAAAAGTAATTAAGAGATATGTGTATTATGAAAAAAAAAATGTAAATGAATGGGTGGTAAATAAAGATTTTCTTGGCTTACGTAAGGAACTTCGTGTACCTGCTTCTACGTAAGATGCCCAGATAACATTAAGACGTCCTGAGATGTCGTAAGACGTCTTTTGGACATACGTGTTGTTTGAGCGTATACACTTTTAGATAAGCATGATTTCATACTATCGCCTGTTCAGTCCAACATTTAGATTCTTCTGGAAATGTTTACACTACTTTATTAGTTATTTTATTAATTTATTTAATAGTTTATTTAGCTTAATAATAAATCATATGTGTTTATGCTATTATTGGGAAAACGAAGAGACGCTTCAAAGATTGCACAACTCATAGAGGCTGGCATAGTTTATTAACATTCAGTCCAAATTGACGCTTTCATTTTTTTTTTACATTTTAGATCAACATGTAATGATATCAGAAGAATAAATTTCGTTTATATAAATTCATCATATTTTAATAACAGATATAATCTAAATATTAAAATGTATTTCTCTTATTACAAACTCTCTGATTTCTTCTTTTTTCTCTTCTCCTTTGTATAATCTCTGAAGGCATATAATGCGCAATCAATGTTTAAGACGTTTTTTCTCCTTTTTTTATCAATATTTAGTAATGAAGACTTCGTGAAATGTAATCGTTAACAAAATAGATTGAAGATCTGAATTTGAAGCGTTAAAAAGTATGACACACATTCAACAAAATAATAATAATTACTTTGTAACACTTCGTCGCGCATGTACACATATACCGTCGCCTCGCGGGAGGCGCTGGATCGTAATAAAGCAAAGATTAGCGTAACCTTTCAGAAAAGTATATATATGTACATATTTATATATATTATTGAAGACTTCAGTCTAAGGTTCCAAACTGTACGTCAACACGTTGACTGCCATGCTAATTTCCATGTGGATTTCGTTCCAGAACTTAACTAAATGCCCAAGTTAACGGAGTTAGCCAAAGTTCTATCATCTATCAGGTAAGAATATAATACTATATTTATACAATGTACACAGTCGGTCACAGGACGGTTGCAAGTTTTTTTTTTTACATATTTCGGAACACAAAAAATACGGCAAAGTGAACCTATGATTTACGAACATGCGCAGTAGGTGGTCAGACAACTGTCAAAATTACATATACATGTAATTTGTCATATACATGTAATTTTGACATATACATAATCTAATTTTAATAGCTGTCTGATCATCTATTGTGCATGTTCGTGAATGAATAGGATCGCTTTGTCGTATTTTTTGTGTGTTCTAAAGTATATAAGAAAAAAACTGTTGTAACTGTCCTGTATTGTCATTCGACTTCTGTCACAACCGATTACCATATAAAAATTGCATGTAGTAAGCGGTGACCCGCAATCGTAACAATTTGACGCGCTCCCAACTTCATCATCAAGATATCGATCAAGTAATTTTCCTCCTAGGGCGGAAACGTGAAAAGTGAATTGTTTTCTAATTAGAAAATTTACACTTTCCACGAGTTCAGGCTAGAAGGGAAGATTCATAATCAATACTCAGGTAGTCATGAATCTTCTCCTCTAGCGTGAACTCATGAAAAATGTAAATTTTCTAATTTGAAAACATTTCATTTTTCACATTTCGATATCCGGAACAAAACGCGTGCAAACTGTTTTTTTAGTTCTCTGTTGGCTATATGATTTGTTCGTTAATTGGCAATTAGCTACGTTTTCGCGTAAATCAGTGGTGAAACGCGGCAGTCACAATGGCGGTCAACGTGTTGAATATTTTAGTAGGATGTTCCACGACTACGCTCTCTTTGAATCCACGGAGACGTCCAATTCTGCCACAATTTTCCTTCGTCGACAATTTGATACATCATATTTCTCGTAGTACTTTAAACTTTAATGATAAATAAAACTTTACTTCGTTTTTCCTAAGAAAACAAAATTCATTAAAAATAATTTGTAAATTGTCGTTATCCGTTAGCAGCAGCAGTTCTATAATATTAATCATTTATATATCTTTTTGTCTCTTACAATTGCATCGCTATGCAAAATCAACTATACAATTACTCGTTAGCAAAATTTTCATTAATTGCAAGCACCGCGTAAAAAAGATAACTTAGTTCGATTTTCGTCCTTATATCTCGACTACACTAATTACGAGTCATGTGTCGTCAATTCATCCGCGCACAATTTAAACGTACAATTATTCTCAAGTCAATCATACACAATTTAAGATAGGAATTAGACTAGAATCTGAAATATAAGTCGTATTTCGAGGCATCCGTATTTTGCTAGATAAATCATAGAAACACCTTGGAACGTTTGTAACGTGTCGCTGTGTCCGCGTATAAGACTTCAAAATATTTCATAAACATTAGTGCAAGCGTTAATTAATAATAACACGAACTATTCACGAAGATAAATTAGCGCGCATGCATACTCTTTGTTTCCTCTTTAAGTAAATTTACTCTCTCACACTCTTCCGTCTCTTAATTTAATATCTCTACATCGTATCGTTAAGAGTTATGTAATTTACTTTTAAAGTAATAAATTCTCATTATATACCTATTAGCTTATTCCGTATATCTACTGATAAGTAATTTAAACGTCTCTCTCTCCGGAACCAATCTTATTTGTAACAGTACAATATATATTTATATATACTTATTTCCCTCAATTCAGATCTTCAATTCTCAGATCTAGCGAGTTTAGCCAGAGTTTCACTAACTCCCCCTCGATTGCAATTAAAATATTTTGGACATATTTGTTTTGTCGCAGTTTGATTGCAGTCTGTCTCCGTGATATAAATATCCATGGCTATATAATTCTTTCTTTTTCGTTTTAAATTCATTTGGTCTAAAGAACAGGATATAGAGGATTGCATTAAGATAAACATTGACTAGAATACCATGCGGTATTTAACTTTCAAATTGAAAAGCAACAGCTATCGTTAAGAATTTAATTCAAGCGTCTCCAGGATCGATTGACATAGACTTTGCAAGTTCGGTTGCGTCGTGCACTCCGTATGCGTTTTCTCCAGTTGCTTTAACGTCTCTACGCCGCCTTCTCTGACCAACATCACGCAATAACGTTTCGCTGAAAACAAACACGCGCTTGTTATCGCTCGTATCTCGTTAGTGCGTTATTTTTTACTCGAAAATGAATAATGGCAACAACATACAATCATTGTTATCCTATAATTAATAGATACGATTATACCAATATAGAGTATAAGAACCCGTTTGTTTGTCTTTTACTTGCGTATATCATATCGTCAAGTTGTTATATTTCTGATTTCAATCTACAGTTAGGAAACGATATTCCTGGAGGACTTACGATTCTTTGTGCATACATGATGAATCGCCCACACCGCCCAGAGTTGAACCGGATATGCGTCTGCGCAGCGTAACAGCGGGAAGAATGGTTGGAAACTACGATAGGCAACCATCTCCCCTTGCGGGGTTTGCCAGTGGGTCACAGCGTGAACCAGTTGGTCTAACAACTGCTCCCTGCTCGGTTGCGACGGCATACTGTACCAAGACCGAGGACCATCGCTCAGTAGATGCGCGGCGATACCAGCCGCGAAATAAGACACATCGATGTGCTCCGAGTCGAGCAGCATTGAAAGCATCTTGATGAATCGTGGCTGCATAAGCCGTGGCCTCAAATGATCGACCTGAAATCAGTTCAGTGCGAAAAAGAAAACGTTACAACGTACGTCGCAGCATATCCTTATCATTCATCTTATGAAAGGTTTCGTCTTGTGTGAAAGACTTCATCGTTGCGAAAGATCGCATTTTGTACGAAATTTCACCGTTATAAAAGGTTTCATCTTATGAAAAGCCTCATTATTGTAAAAGATCTCATCACTGTGAAGGGTTCCATCTTATGAAAGATTTTATCTTACGAAATTTATTATTCGCGTAAACTTGGCGAGTAATCCAACTGTTAATGACACCTGATGTACGAACCTCCGCGATATTATTCAATAGACCGAGAACCTTAGTCTCTACGCTCGACTCTCCCTGGAAGCTGTCCAACACTTCGAGGAACAGTTCCATTCCGCCCTCATCGAGAAAGACCTTGCACGTAACGGCACTCTCGTCCGTCAGGTTCCACAAGGCGCTCAGTGTGAATTTCATCGTGATATCCACTATCCTGGACTCGACTTTGGAACGGACCATCGCGAGCAGCTTCAACATGTATTGCGGTTGTGCGCCCAGCATGGACGTCTCCACCGTCGAGATTTTCGCCGCCAGTATCGAGCAGATCGCCACGGACATTCGATTCATGGACGCGTCGTCAAACGTCGACAAGCAGTTCATAACTAATCTTGCACATCTGTCAAATCGAAAGCGTCTCTTTTGGCTTTGCGTGCGCGCCATCCGTATGTTCACTCTACACTCACTGCACTGAAATTTCAATATCTGTCCAACATGGATAAAATATTGCCGACTTACGCTTCATTGGTTTTTTATAAAAAGATCAATCGGTGTAAATGCGTTTCTATTTGTTACATCAGGAGCAATGTTATTGTTAATGAAATATTAATGAATAATTGCTAGCCTAAATAAATAAAATCAGAATGACTTGCTGTGTGAAATAAAAAAAAAAACGATATAATTTTTCATTATAGGACATTCAACACCGTCTTAGGTAAGATTATATGTGTATGAAATTTCAACGTTTTTGCACATAACAAACATGTCAAGACATATCAATACAAGAAATTTGTCTTGCATTATTAAATCCAAAGAATTATTTAATTACGTGTACAACATTCTCTCTTGCACAGTATTATCAACTTCCATTCACAAAAAGATCCAAGCACTCATCATTGTCGAGGATTCTGCATGTTGCAACAGACAATACGCAAAATAGGGACAAGCATTTCGCGAGGAAGATATTGAAATCTCAGTTGGTGTATAGATTCATGTTTATGTTGTGAATTGATGCATAGCTACCTATACTTGTCGAATGCAACATCCTGCAGGATTCGATCGCTACACAAAGTCAACAGAGTGTTCTTTTGGAGTTGATGATTATTCGGATATGATTCCATCGCCAACAATGTTAATTCGACTATCTGCTTAAGTATCGACGGATGAATCATGAGGGCCAATTCGCCCTTCGTTAGATTATAAATACATGCGGTAGCTGCCATTTGTACACGAAATTCTTGCGGATGCTCTCTCATGCCGGGTAACACTAATTTTATCACATCGACTCGTGGCTCGAGAAAGTTTGGTGTCAAACGGAACAAATTGAACAGACATTTCTGAAGGTATATCGGTCTGTATGTGTACCTTCTAAGGGCTTCCAAAATTTGTGATTCTGTTGCTGTACCACTGATCTGAAGCAAAAGACAGATATAATGTGTAATTTCTGTGTGTCCATTTGCCTGTTTTGAGTGAACATTTACTTTACTTTTTTTTCAATATAGCTATTTACGTTTAAACTACCCATTGTTCAGTTGGATTTTAAGATCGATATTAATTCCTGCATTTGCAAATGGAAATTGATTGTAGAAAACACGCCTGATAAAATCAACATTCGAAGGGAGTTGATGACATCAAATACTAACATAATGATAATCTTTACGTGACATATACGATACAATAGAATATATAACTCTATGTAAAATGTGGCATTACATAATGATATATGGTCTGTTCTTTTTGATTGAATTGATTGCAACTGGTTCAAGAAATTTACATACACATTGAAGCGTATGAAGCGTACGTACGAAATTCTCACGCTTCAATGTGCGCAAATTTCTTGAACAAGTGCAGCCAGTTAAAAAGAACAGACCAATAATAAAACAATATCGTTACGAACGATAAAAAAAAATATAAGATAGCACGAGATATGAGGAATTCAAGTTTCGTGTAAATGACAATAACAATGTATAATCAACACTGTTTTCGATGATAACGCCATTGCACATATCCAGAAGAGATTCAGAGATCTAAATACAAAATACAATGCAACAAAGTATCGACCCCAGTTTTTTTATAGACTATATAGAACATAACTATATAGACACAGTATTTGCACAATTAATTTATCAGCGTTGAGACAACTTACAACAAGCTCGGGTCTGTAATCCTCGTGTGTCAGATCTATAAAACTTTCGTCGTAGCAAGCGTCAGAATGCACTAATCCTAGGAACCTCAGGTGCACGTGCGACGCAATGAAATTTTTTAAATCTTTCGGGTTTATGTCATCTTTACCTAAACAGCAAATGTATCATATTTAACGATATACACTCCATAAGTTATATATTGTGTTAATTATGATTTTGCGAACAACATTACAGGATGTAGAAAATTATATTGTCGGATAATTTTGCACGAGTTAGCACGCTACTCACCCGATAAGTCTAAAGTTGTCAAATGTGGCATGCAATGCAGAGCCCTTAGAAAGTCTGTTATTTTTGGCCTAGCGGGTGCGAACACTTCGAAAGCGTGTGCGTCTTTCTCGTCGGAAATGTCTAAATGCCTTAATTCATTCAGCTCCAGTAACACTGGTATCAGGTTACCGCAACCGCTTATCTTTAAATTATACATATTTAATGTCTTTAAACGATCTTTACATTTCCTTAGTGGTGTTATATCGTCGACTCTCGTACAAGATATATCTAAGCTCTCTAAAAGGGGAAGATCTTCGACTACTATGTCCAAGCCATGTTTATTAAATTCTGTTCCTGAGACATTCAGGGTATGAAGTGCCCTCAATTTGCTTAACGTTACTACCACGCAATGCCTATAACGAAACGTGTGCAAAAAATATCAATATCAATCGTCACGAGGGTCCTTCTGGATCGACTTAAAAAGGCCAGACAGCAAGAAAGAGCGTAGCGCTCGATAATAACCTTGAACAATCCATAAAGCTTCCTTTAGCTACGCTTAGCGACCTAAGATTTTGTAAACTCCAATCGCCTAGACAGCTAATTAAATCGTTAACAGTAATTTTAAGTCCATTTACTATTAAATCTACAACTTTATGCTGCTTGAGAACCCTCAAGCCCTTAGCTGATAATGTAGACGCATCTTTCAGCCGTACGTGCCTAGAAAGAAGGAAGAAATTAACCAATCGAAGAGTATACCATCATTCGCATTGCTTTCTCAAATACAAGTCCGAGGAGAGCTGACACTATAAGTGTGTTTTCTATTTCTGCATCGGCTGCATTAGCTCAAGAAGTGTGCACTGAAGCAGTTGTTGCAATGTTTTACTGCTTCTATTTTGAAACTTTGTTCTTTAAACATTTATTGTACAGCTATCAAAGCAAAAGTTAAATAGTAAGTATGAAAGTAGGAGCTCTCCTAGATACTGTAAAGACTACAATATTTATATTTTAATACAGAGTGTTTAACATTCAGATATATAAGTTAAAAACATAGCCAGTTGAAAATAATAACTGTCCAATTCTGCAGTTACAATGTAATATGCCATGTTATTTTTACATTAAAGCATTCTTTACCCTTTGGTTGCACACTTGTCAATTCTGGCTTGCACTAGTTCAGTTCTAGTGCAGTCCCAGTGCAGGAATAGAAAACAAACTTAAGGAGAATAATACAAGAATATCTCTCTCTCTCTCTCTCTTATTGTCACCTTAGCCTAGTGGTCTTGGAGTCGAAGAGCGTGATGGTCAGGTCGGATAACGTTTTCTTCTCACATAGGTTGGATAATAATTGCTCGGACACTTCGGCCGGCAAGAAGGCGTCCGGATGCCTAAAGGTAAGCCGAGTCGCGGAGCTGGTGGGAGCATCGTTAGACGATGTTCTACCTGTTGTAGTATCAAAAGCGAATTCTTCTGTGCTATTATTGTTCACTGTACAGATATCAGGTCGATCTAAAACTTATGCAGTTTTTAATTCCGCCGTGCGAGCGGGAGGAGCACGCGAGAGCGCAAGAGCTGGTGGACGACGCTTTTCGCTCATCCACTCGGCTCGCGGGACACTCACCGGAAACGGTAGCGCCGGGGGAATGCACATTCGTATCGCCTAGATGTACCTCGCATAAGCCTAGAACGTTACCGCAGATGAAGTCGATGCACACCTCCTGGAGACTTCTCGGAGACTCAAACATCTTTTATTTCTGCTGTCATCCGTGCTACCTCTCTGTGGCTTCTCTCTTTCTCTCTCTCTCTCTCTCTCTCTTTTTCCCCCTATGAACTTTTTTTTTTATTGACTTCCTACGGAGCACCGTACCTTCTCGCACTCACCGTCCCATACCTTGGACACAGTACAAACGGAGAAAATCTGTGAGCACCTTGTAATCCCTCTTAACCTTAATCTCCCTTTTCCCCGTCTTTCTTTCTCTCTCTCTTTCTCTCTCGCTCGCTTTCTTTCTCTCTCTCTCTCTCTCTCACTCTTTCTCTCTCATTCACTCACTCTCACGCACACGATACATCCGAATACGGAATCATATCCGCCCGTACGCTGTGCTGAACCGTACGAGAATCGTGGCGCGCTATGACGTGGTGTGTGTGAGCGAGAAAGAGAGAACGAACAGCGAACCCCCGTCCTCGCGTACGCGAAGCTGCACACGTCAAAATAGTGTCACGTGAATCGCGCGAGAGAGCTAACTGTATAACCAGACGAACCGTACACGCTTTCTCGCGATCGCCTGCCTATCTGTCCGTCTGTCGGTCCGCTTGTTCGCTCCGTTTCGCGTCAACGGAGAAGAGCGACAGCGAAAGAGAGAGGGAGAGAAAGAGCGCTCTGCTCACCCGCATCTCGTTCTCTCGCGGAATTTTTCGAGTGACGATTACGTAACAATAATTTCGCACACATAACCGCACAGCGCACGCAGGCGTGAGGTCTCGTTGCGCGAGGCCAAACACTTCCTACCGTCGCGGAGCGCGCACCGAAATCGCGGACCCTCTCTATCTCTCTCTCTTTCTCTGTCTATCTGTCCCTCTCGCTCCGTCGAACGAGCGCGAGTCCACGGCGCCTTTTGCGCGCCGTCGCCGAAGACACGTCGTGGACAATCTCAGCGAAATCTCACGGTGGTCCGCGCGTACCGGAGCACGCGGAGCAGCTCCGCGAGAGCGGGCGAAAGCTTGTTGCTCGACAACCGCGAAAGCTGCGGGCTCTCATGTGTCACAGCGACGCCATGTTGACTCGCCAAATGTCAAAACAGACCAAAAAAAGAGCGCACAGTGTCATCGCGTCGCCCTCGTCGTCGTCGTCATCACACACACGTAGTGGTGGCGCGCGGAGATAACTCGATTCGCAGCTACGTTCGCGCATCTCCTCTCTCTCATTCGTTCACCCTTTCTCTCTCTCTCTCTCTTTCTCCCTGCCGACAATGCCGACAGCTGATCTCGCGCGAGAATCAGAGCAATTTCCGAGATCGCCCCCCGACCTCGTTTCGCCCGGCGTAAGCGGCGTGGGCACGCACGGACGGACGGACGCACGTACGCACGATTAGGATGGCCAACTCTCGATCAGCCAATTACGGGATATCGACCTTAAAAAATCGAGACACGACCAAAAATCGAAACTTTTGATGAAAGATAAGTAAATTAGATAAATGTAGGTTAGTAAGTAAAATTACTATTCTCTGTCATATCAAGATTAAACAATCAACTGAACATGGCTTTTCATTGTGTTTTAATATAAATAATCATTATGTAAAATTAGGCTGATGTTTTTGAAATAAAATTAAAAGGATAATCAACGGAACATAAAATATGTAATTGTGTTTAACGGGCCTTAAGGCCTATTTATGCAGGTCGTTAATTTGTGACGGAACCGTAAAAGATTGACCAATCACAGTCGAATTATAGAAGAATAATCGATTGTGATTCGTCGATTTCTTACATGAGGTTCCGACATAAGGTAAGTTTACGATCTTCGTAAATAGGCCTTAAAGCTAATATATGAGAAGTACGCGGTCTAACGTATTACATAAAAAACTATGTGATTAACGATTATAAAATAGATCATTCTCTAAATAGCAGTCACTAATCTCAATGGGCTGCTTTGCTCCGGTTGATTGAAAAGCAATCGCAATTCAATCGGCAATCGCTAGTGTGATTTGGCCTTTAGGTACTACCCGAACAAGAACCTTTCACCTGAACAGCTATTGTCGGCGCTCGCAATTTAAGAGAATTCACGAGAACTCCAGTACAATTTATTATTATATTTAACATTATACCATTTATTTTTCATTAAATGAGAAATCGGGAGAAACTGGCGTCTCGCTTACGGTGCCGCCGGGAAGCTTTTGATGAGAGCCGAAAATCGGGACGGTTGGTTACCCTACACGCGTATCACCTCCTCCATGGGGACGGAGGAACGTGACATCCGTCGGCGCGGCTTTATTTGCCCACATTAATCGCGTGCGCGCGAACGATACTTTGATCTCCATGCACAGCGCGGCGCGAGGGGCGGCCGGCGATCGTTCGCTGTCGCGATCATTGCCGTAATCGTCGCCGGCGCGTCATCGTCGTCGCGGTGGAGGTGGTGGTCCGTTTTTTTCGCGTCTCCTTCGCCTCCCCGGGGGCCAAGTAGTCACATTGGTTATTGACACACCGCCAACATGGCGGTGAAGTGGAAAAAGACGGGCTTGTGCGGCCAGCGCGCGTCGTGATCTCGTTCTTTGGGCGGTGAGAATTTTCCCAGGTAATTTTCTCGTGAGCGACGCGAGTCCCTCCTTCGGCGGCGGGAGTCGGAGGGAGAGAGAGAAACGCTGCGAAGTCGAGAACCGGAAGGAAAGGCAGGTGTCGAGGCGCGTTTGAGAGTTGCGTGAATATTCGAAATGTGACGGTGTACTATTCGGGAAAATAACGCGCACTAGTGTCGCTTCACCAGAGAGCCCGTCTCCCCCGATGTCTCCGGAAAGATAAGAAATGAAACGAGAAGTAAGAAGCGCGCATCTCTCGTTCGTACGTGTGTACAGTTATTATAAATATTCATGCACTTGAAACTGCGCCCGAGTCTTGACAGCTCTTGCTTCTCCTTGCGATTTTATTCTCCGATTTTCCGTACTTTACGGCTGTGTACGTTTTTGTCCGAGATTCCATGTTGTACGTGTCATTTAAAAAAAAAAATGTGACGCAAGATAGAGAGATAACAGGGCTGTGACAGGGGTATGATGTATGAAGGAATGTGCCGCCGCTTGAATATTGATTAAACTTCTGTGTGAAGTGTCTTACTTATTTTGAGATAAACAAGATGTATCTCTGACCTTTAAATTTGGTTCTATGGTAGACTGCGGTAAATTGAACAATAGAACTAATGGTAGGAGCAAAAGATCTAGAAATCTTTTCAGAAACCAATAGGAAAATAATTGACAGTATCTCTTTGCATTTATCATTTTATTCGGTTTCCATGCTCGAATGGATATTATTTACCGCAGTCTGCTTTACTGCATCATTTGATATATTGGACGATGCAACTCTTACACGACATAAGTTTTTCAAGATACGTTGTTACCATTGGACTTTTCCAGATTTAAACTGAAACCTGTTAACGGCAGCTATAACCATGGTATGACCCTTTAGTTGGGTGAAGTAATGTTAGACAATAATTAACATTCTCAATTGCTGTACCTTTGCTCTTGGGCTCTTTTGAAAGATGCCAAGTTTACGGAAGAAAGTTGCCGGCTTCATGCGCCAACTGTCTATCAGTAATTTGGCCGGGGCTGTGGAGAATATCGGTCATGGAGAGCAGTCGCTTAGAAGCCCACGATCATTGACACAGGATTTTCCTGGTGGCTGTTTCATCACGCGCTATCTCAGCGGGTCAGTATTGAAGTCAATAACAGGCTTAATTAGACACAGTTGATTAATTTTCACCACACGTACTTGATATTACATTTACTTGAGGAAGATGATTTTTGTTAAATATAATTAAACCTTCCACATGCGACAAATAAAATGATGTCTTAAGCTTCAGTAGTGCTTTTCGTATAACTTCTCACAATTTCTTCCTATATAACACTTAAACAATATTTCCTTTTTCGATATATTCCACACTTCAAATTCTATGTGAAGGGTGTGTAATGACGTGCACTATTGTATCCGACAGATACTCATACGCGTCATCTTTTTAGGCTAGAAACGAAACAAGAAGGACCGGCGATTCTGCACGGCAGAAATCCGGAAGAACTGCCGGTCAAACAACTCGACAGCTTTCAAGAGAACGAGGAGATATTCGCAGCCTATACTGGTCCCGATAGTGGTCTTACGGCGGTCAATCTTCAGCAAAAGCACTTAAGTATTAGCGATACCGATATTGATTACATTGACATGCTAGATCAGAATGAGCAGTATAGAAGCGGTGAGTCGGAGGGAATAACGACCTTTATCGATGAGAGCCATCCGGGTCGTCTCGTGCGAGACCAACGACGCGCGATTTCTCTTCCAGGATCAACAACGTCGAACGTTACGATCGCCGGAGTCGCCGATTGGTGTAATCCCCACGAAAACGCCTACGGAATTGCAACGACGCTTTACGAGAAGAATCCTACGAACGACACCAACAATGGGGAACCGATAGCCGACTGCTTCGGCATCGTAGCGAGACCGAACTCCGCCATACTGGCTCTCGCGGACGGTGTCAATTGGGGTAAAAGTTCATGAAATCGATCTCGATAGAGTAGACTAGGGGAGACGAGCGGAAACCGGAGGGTAAGTGTGCCCGCAAACGCTCCCAAGTGTACGAATCGTACTGGTACTTTCAGGCACAAAAGCGAGTATAGCTGCCAGATCCGCGGTTCACGGCAGCATAGAATACCTGAACCGCGCGCTATTCTGTCCGTCTATCAGTAGCGAAACCACAACGACTAGGGACGTGTTCATAGCGTTACTGCGATCATTCCATGCCGCGCATTCGTTGATCCTCCAGGAACAAGGAATGCTCACTACCTTAACAGTATGCACAATCCTTCCACTGCCAAGCTCAAGTACTGATACGAATATCTGTCACAAAAAGTATATTGCTTGTACCTGCAACGTTGGCGATAGTCTGGCTTACGTCTATTCGAGGTGCGTACTCTTTATTACGTGGGACTCCTGGTGAATATCTCAACATTTCTCGCATTATTTCTCAAAATTTCGATGAAGAATCGAAAATTTCGTCAGAATGTTCTTGATTATTTATACGAATTGGGAGGTTTTTCAGAAAAACTATATACTTGTATATTCTGAAAATCCTCATCCAATTATTCCTGAAAGTGTCTGTGAAATGTTTCACATTTTTCCCGGAATTTTCCATAAATCTAAAATATGAAGAATTCTTAGAGAATTTCTGAGAAAGTATAAAACATTTTTCACCAGGGAGAGAGAAAGAAGGATAGAATTTCGTCGATACGGAGTTCCCCTCTGAGAAATGACGCTCACTAGATCGACTTGGAGAAGAGAGCTGTGTTGTAAATTATCGTCCTGCGACTGAAACTACCTTCTTTCTCTCGTTCTCGTTGCCTTTCAGCAAGTCAGTTCTACGTTCGATAACCGTCTCTAAAAACGAAACAGGAAATCCGGCGTGCGGGAGATAACGCGAGGATCTCACGATATTCACTGTATGCGAGATATGAGAGATGCCTTAGGAGCCTTAGGCCCGGTAGACGGCTCTAACCCGGAGTTGAACAACTTAACGTTGGCCATAACGGAGGTTGAGAGAGGCGACATAGTATTTTTGACGAGCGACGGCATCTCCGATAATTTCGACCCCGTGGTGGGAAAGTTCGCGGTGTTACCGAGCCACAGTAGCGGCGCCGACGCCACGCTGAAGAGCCACGACGCGAGGTCAAAGACGCGCCGAAAATCCGCGGAGAACCTGCGTCACACCGAGTCCAGCAACAGCAACGGCAATAGCAACAACTTGCCGGTGGTCGAGGCTTATCAGAGGCATGAGCTCACACTGCTCAGGATGGAGGACTTGCTGAGACGCGGGGTTTCCGGTGAAGGCCCGCCGTGCAATAGTGCCAAGCATCTATGTGAACTTCTGTTGGATTTTGCGGTAAGAAGGACGATGTGTCTCTCACGATGCTAACCTTCGAGTTTCAAGCAAATCGTTGATTTTCATGAATTCAGCAATTTAGATGCGAAAGAACGTTTCTTTTTAGTTCTGTTAGATATAAATGAAATATCATCGAGATATAATTGAGATATAATTAATATCCTTGTCTTCTTCGGTATTGATGTCCGGCTTGTCCGCAGGTACGCATAACCGCCGCAAAGAGACGGATCCTAGAAGACACGGAATTGTATTACGCGCAACATAAAGACGGCCAATTGGTGCAGCTCTCCAAGCAGGAACAGAGATCTCGGCGAAAAAAGACACTGGAGAAGATCTCCATGATACCTGGCAAGTTAGACCACGCGACGGTCGTAGCTTACGTAGTCGGATCCTAAATTGCGTCGGAGCGTAACTTGTAATTACTCCCCACTGATATAGAGTATAGTTTTCATTTGTACGATAATTAATAAATCGAACTTTCTACACTATCAGGAGGCGTCGATAACGCATTTTGCTCTGTTTTGGTCCGAACGAGACGTACATTTCGCACGGAACTCGACGCGCTCAATTGGAGGAGAAATTAAATTGAGAAGTAGGGCAGGCGTTATCAACGACTTCTGTTATAACACTCTTATCTGGTATCGAATAAAAAGAAAATATATCTTTTACAAGTCGAGATATCGCGCAGACTATTCGTCTCTGTGTAAGCGGCTATAATTTTATATAGAGCGAGGCAAATCGCCCGCGAGTGTATGTAAAATGTACAAATATACGCGCCGTAGATGTGTGCACATGTCTACGAAAAAAATATCTGAGTGACGATGAATTATAATTGAACAATATTGCGGGACAAATGTTTATACATTTGTTTGTAGAGAGATATCCTTATAATCGAAAACCAAGGTTGGGTAAATTAAGTTAAAAGTTAATTACATGCAAAACTATAAATCTAACTGAACCATTGTCCTTTTAAACTATATATATATAGTTTTGTATATTTAACTTTTAACTTGAATAAATTAATTTAATTTTAACACAACTCTTAATTAGTTTTTGTTTAAATAACTTTTAATTTAACTAAGTTGATTGTATAGATCATCAACTTTTAACTTAAGAAATTGACCGATCACAGTTAATTATTCTCTTCACGTTCGACTGTGATTAATAAATTTACTTATGGCTTGCGTCTTAAGCCCGTATCAGAATATGGATTGAGAATTGATGTTGATTTGAACTTAGCCAATCAATGTAAAGTTAACTAAACTCAGGTTTAGTGAAATTTAATGAATTGGAATAGGTGCAGTTGTACCCAGCCAATCACAACACCGCTTGCCTAGAGATATTTCTAGGGTCCTTTAAAGCAGCGATTTGTGATTGGACTGTGTCCAAGTGATACACACCCTTCTGAGCATGTAAAAAAAATGATTGCATTCATCCTGTGAACGACTGTAATTCTTTAAACTAGTGCAGCCAATTCAGCTAAAAAGAACAATAGGTCGATTATAAATCTTTTTCCCTAGCGTGAAAGATGGAAACTTTCTAATATCAGAGTATATGAAAATGTTCACTTTTCACGAGTTCACGTTGGTGAAAAAGATTCATGTGATCGGCCCTCCGGACTAAAGATCTATTTGTTTCAACTACACCCACCGGAGTACTTTTCTCGAGATAAAATAGATATATACCGAGGCTTGAAAAAAAGAGCGAGAAAGAGTGCAGTGGTCGAGTGTAAGGACGACCAGCGATTGAGGGGACCAATAGCAAGCGTTCCCGCATTGGAATGCGCATGCTCAGTCCACTGGACGGTTGGCGACACTGCGCCGAATCGCACGGGATAACGACGATCGCGGCCGATGGCGACCATCCTCGTTAGTGTACGACTTACCTGTTGATAATCGGCACCGTTGCAGCGTGAGAAAGTAGAGCTTCGGGCCGAGGTGTCGTTCGCGGTAGATTTCCGGCGAGTCGCGCGACGCCACTGGCCGTCGTTGTCCGTGCGGACGGTTGACACTTTCATACAGGACGGGAGCCGCTGCCGAACGATGCGTCCGAATTCTGCCGTGAGAATCAGAAAGTAGGGTGCTGTGTGTTGCTGTGGACATAACCTGCGCGTCGGACTACGATGCTCGTCGTCGGCGGTGCGCCCTCCGTGGTGTAGCGCGCGCGCTCGATCAGCTGCTTCCCGGTCGTCTTCTCGGAGGATGAGTGGAACTCGCGTCACGATGAGTCCCCGCTCGCGGAATTAGCCGTTTCCCTCGCGCCCGCTAGTCGCGATCCCCGTGGTCGATTTCTCTTCAGGTCGAGTCCTCCGAGAAGAGCATGGCAATTCGCGTCACGCTTGAGTATGGACACGCGTCGATGGTACGTTCCCATCTCACTCCCGAGGGCTACACGCACGACTGGGAGGTGTTTGTGCGCGGGGTGGACAATGCGGATATTCATCAGTACGTTGATAAAGGTACGTACACAAACCATGGCCGTTTCTCTCTCTCCCTCTCTCTCTCTGTCATTCCACGACGATACCCGGCGCGTCGTGCGCTTCCGGAGAAACGACGACACGTCTTCCGTGCTTCTCCTCCTTCGATCCCTCGTGTAGCCTGTTTATACCGCGTTTATTGTTTATAAACATCGTGAAAACGTCCGTGAAGATCGGCAAAACAAAGTTGGACAGCCGGGCCAAAAAGCGACGTCGCATCCAACGAATGTGAAGCCTCCAGCTTGTTTCATGATCCTCTTTATTTATTTGGGCCTTTTTTTCTTATGTTATTTGATATGTTACTTTTGTATTTATAGGTAGAATAGCACAAAAAGTCAGTTTTCTTTCTGTACTGACTAATGTGTTTTGTATTTTCCAGTGGTGTTCCTCTTGCACGACTCGTTCAGGAATCCCAAGAGAGTACTGAAGGAACCGCCATTCGTGGTGAAAGAATCTGGCTATGCTGGCTTCCTGATACCGATAGAAATTTATTTGAAGAATAAGGATGAGCCCAAGAAGTTCCAGATAATGTACGATCTCGACCTGCAGCAGAGCGGTCCGCCTGTCAACAATGTACTACGTCATATGGAGGTGATCAACAATCCCTCGGAAGAATTTAAGAAGAAATTGTTGAAAGGTGGAGGCGTAAGTATATCTTGAGATATTTAAACGGTTGGGCAGTGTATTGGGCAGAGTGTGGGATTCAAGCAGCCACACAGCAGGATGTCTACTGTCTGAAAATTGGTACTGTCTAAAAATATCTGGAATTCACTCAGGGAATTTAAATGGACTGTTTATGCCTGGGAAAATAAAAAAAAATTTCATGGAATTTTATTGGAAACCGGAGAATTTAAATGGACATTTGTCTGCGAGCCATATTATCACGTTGTTCATAGACAAATATTATGTTATTGACTGGATTTTATTTAATATTTTCTTCGTTAAAAATTGTAGAAAAAACTAGTTTAGGACTTTTTGATTTGATTTTTAATTTAATTTTAATTAACAAGGAATAGCGTTGTATCAATCGTAGACGCGAATTTATTTTAACATTCTGTGTATATATGCACTTAAGACTGTTTTTGAGATTCTGTTTAATATTTAAATATCAGCGCTTTTTTATAATTTTGTTAGATTCTCTTTTTTGTTCTATATCTACGTATATAATTTAAATATTTAATTATATTGCTTTGATATTTAAAGCATACTGATTTTACGACTTATCCGATATTCAGTATTGAAGATAATTTTGTGTTAGGAATAGTTTTGTTTAATGACTTGTTAAAACAGATATTTATTATAATAGATTTATAAAGGTTGCATTTTGTGATTGTGCATTATATAATCTTTTTGTTGGTAACTTTTGTTGATAACTTTTGTTGGTAACTTTTGTTGGTAACTTTTGAAAATTAAATTAAATTTTAAAATTAAATTTAAAATTTTCGTGCAATCTAAAATACTTGTTTTTTAGAGTTTTTATAGTTGCTTTCAAAAATTTTCAAATTTAATAATTGAAACTGGAATTATTCTTAATTTTATTTTATGATTTACAGACTTTTATAAATAGAAAATATTAAGAACTTGGTACAATAAATATATATTCATTTGCAGGGTATATTTAAGAATATTTTCATTTTAGCTGAAATTTTTAACAAATTGCCTAAAAAATCAGGGGATTCTCAGGGATTTATTTTTTAAGTTTGAGTAGACACTCTATACAAGAATTTTGGCTGAGTTTGGTTAATTCGCTTTTACAGCTGATTGGTTCGTCTTACAGCTGATATTTATATATTTATAATAAATATTTGTATACTTGTACAATTTGTATTTCCTAAACAGACGAACTAAAGTATTGCATCTGTGCATCAATATTCATATTATGAAAGCGAGTTGGACAAATAGTCTGTAATCGTTCCCCTGGTATCATCTTTTGTAATTTCAGGTTGTGGTATCCAGAGAGATTGTGGCGGAGAAAAGCGACGTGAAGGCATCCGGGATGATCGGCAAGCCGAAGTTGAGCAGCGACTCCAGAAAACATCGCATCACTGAGTCGAAGACTTCCAACCCGTTTCACGACTTATTCGGCCCTCCCATCAAAACGGCTAAGATATCGCCGGACAATAAGAAGGCGGCGCAGCCGGACAAAAACTCAGTTCCTAAACCGCTAAGTGTTACCGAGAAGCCCGACAAACCGGACAAAACAATAAAGACGAAGGAGACTCCTCACAAAGACAGCCGGAAAGACAAAGTGGACGAGAAGAAGGACAAGAAGGTCAGAGACAACACTAAGGATAAGACGAAGAGCAAAGAGAAGCCTAAGCGACCTCCTAGTCCTGGCAATAGAAGTCACTCGAGTCCGTCTAGCAAAAGACCGGCGTCTCCAGTCCTCACGAAGAAATCGTCGAGTCCTCTCCCGCCAACCTTGAAGCGACCGCCATCCCCTAAGCCTAAGGAAAAGGATCCGAAGAAGATCGTGCCGGACAAAGAGAAAGATAGCAAGGAGAAGGACAAGGCGAAGAACAACTCCAAGAACACCATCGATTCCTCCAAATCCGAGAAGAAGAAGGACAAGAAGAAAGACAAGGAGGATCGAGACAAGGAGCGAAAAGACAAGTACAAGGAGACGGAGAAAGCCAATGTCAAGGACCTCGCCAAGATTGTCGAGAAGAAGCCCGAGAAAACGGACAAGGTGGAGAAGCCGGAGAAGGAGAAGCTCCAGGAGTACAAGTCGTCCAGAGACGGCAAAAGGTCTCCGAAACCGGTGAAGGAGAACGAGAAGGTGAAGGACGAAAAAGTGATCAAAGTCGATAAGTCGGAGAAGAGCGAGAAGCCGGAGAAGGTGAAGGACGGCAAGAGCGACAAAGACCGGCAGAAGCACAAGCACAAGAAGAAGGACAAGAAAGACAAGAGAGATAGCAACAAGGATCGGGAGAAGAAAGAGAAGCGCGATAAGAGCAAGGATGGCGGCGAGAAAACGAACAACGTGTCCGTCGCGCCGCTCGCGAACCCGCTGTCGACTCTTCTGGCGGAGATCCCCGAGAGGGACAGCAGCGACTCGACGCCTTCGGTCGACGATGACGCCATGTCCGAGAACAAGTCCTTGCTCGCCGTGAAGAAAGAGACGGAACACGCGGTGACACCCACCGTGCACGTTGACACGGCGAAGCCCTTGTCGCCCGGCATATCGCTGGAGATGAAGAAAGAGAAGAGCGAGCGTAGCCGGAAGGACAAGTCGAAGAGAAGCCGAAGCGAAGAGCGGGAGAGCCGGAAGAAGAAGAGGAGAAGCGAGAGCAAAAGTGACGACAAGATGAAGCGGGAGAAAGGCGAGCGCGAGCAGTCGGTCTCGCCGCCGCTCGAACCGGTCTCGTCGAGCCAGTCCCCGGTCGCGATGGACGTCGATCCGGTCCACCACGTCGAGAAGGAGACGAAGAAGGAGGTGAAGAAGGAGAAGGACGACCGCGAGTCGCAGGCGGTCAAGGAGGAGAAGAACGTGGACGTAGAAGCCGAAGCGCCGGTGGTGCCGGACTCTACCAACACCTCGCTGGTCGACACGGAGCTCAGCGAGCCGCCGGTCTTCTCCGAGGACTACGTGTCGCAACTGAAGGACCTGCAGCAGAAGATCATGACCTTGCAGGACAATCAGGAGCTGCAGAGGGTCGTGCAAGTAATCGCCGAGACCGGCCAATACGAGATCACAAAGAAGACGTTTGACTTTGACCTGTGCGCGCTCGATCGCAGAACTGTGCAGCGCCTTCAGCAGTTTTTCTCCGCGTCGTGACCATCTGTAGTGTAAAACGCGAGAGATACATTAATTTATATACACACATATATATATATATACATATATATATAGTATTACGTATATATTATGATATATATTTTATTGAAATATATGTATTGTAATATATAATTATACAATATATATAATATATATGATTCATTACATATATGTATATGTATGTACGCATACATACATACATACTTATATATACCCGAGCAGCGTCAGATTTATCGGAACAGATTTTCCGCAGCAGAATTCGCTGTCGATCGGCGCATTGCTGATATTTTGTTGTTTACTGGGTATATATTAGTTGAGATATATTTATAAGCGATTAAATCATATTATATCTTAGAAGAGAGAGAGAGAGAGAGAGAGAGAGAGAGATTTTTATGCGAACGTCAGTTCATGCCCAGTAAGCAAAAAAAGGAAATAAAAAAAAATACAATCGTCAATCATTGATAGGACTCATTGAATAATCCCTGATGATGTGTAACGCGTGGTCAAATACGTAGTTCCTAACGTTGCACACGACATCGTTGCGACGAATGTTTGCGAGCGGATAGTGTCGATGTCCGAGCGCTTGATCATGTTGCGAATGGGCGCTCGGGTGCTCGAGCAATGATGATTGTATAGTTAATTGAGCAGTGATGATAAGTGTACATAGTATAACTCGGCGAAACGAAAAAAGAAGTCGACTGATGTGAAAAAGAGAGATCAGCCGGCCGCGAGGAACATACGATCGATAGTATTTTTGGGTGCCCGGCTAGCCGAGACAGGAGAAAGTAGCCGGGTCACACCTGCATGGACAAGAGGAATTAGCTGTTCATATAATATAACTGAACTGGTCTTGGCTATCAAATCTAGCTATTAAATCTAGCTTTTAGCTGTGAGAGCTAAAGACTAGGTGCCGGACAGAAAGATTACGACACTTTTTTCGGATGAGTTTCGGAACGCATCCCGTGTCCAATGGGAAAATTGGTTTCTTGATTGTCTCGGAAAATACATTTTTTCCTATTTGGTACGAGATGCGTTGTGAAACTTATAAAAAAACATGTCTTCTCTGTCCAGCATTGTACAGGAACAGGAAAAATTAGCTAAATTAACTAAATTCTGGTTGTATTATATGGATTGTATTATATGGACAGCTAATTTTTTACTTGTGGAAGTTAATTTTTAGCCGTTGGAGCTAATTCTTTATCTCCGTATGCGAATCTGATCACCAGGTGATCAGCCACATCGCGGAGACCACCGTTGCTCTTGCGACATTGTCAGCGCAATTTTTTCGCGAGCGATGGATATTTTTACAATATAATTAGAAGAGAAAAATTATATATACATATATACATACATACATATATATATATATATATATATGTATGTATATATATATATACATCATAATATATCGGGCAATATTTTTAAAAGACTTGTATAAAACGCCGTACGAGATCATTGTTGAAGGGACGCACATCGAGATTAGTGCTTGGAATTATCGATTTATCGATGTCTCTTGCTTACTGGGCGAGGCCCCGAAAGAACGTTACAAGTACACGTCCGCTCGCGTGAATACCGAAGAATTGCCATCGTAGCTCGCTAGTGCTCTCGTGAAGTTGAACCCACTCGCAACACACACATACACACACACACAAAAGTACAATCTAATGAAACACAACGTTCGGTTCTTCTGCTCGTGATTTTCGGTATCAGTTGCGCGCACCAATCGGGTGTACGCATGTGTGTTGTGCCTGCCTCTGTATGTGTATGTGTGTATGTGTGTGTGTGTGTGTGTGTGTCTGCACGAATAACGCGAGTTAAATGTCTGTACAAAAGAAAATTCACACTGTAAATAACGGGTGAGAATTCGACGACGAAGAAGCTGTAATCCATCGTGCCTTTCGCACGCGAAGCACACTGTATGTGCGTATATGTATGTATGTGTGTGTGCGTGAGTGTGTGAGTGTGACATGTTAATGATCGCAGGACGACGAGCTGTGGCAGTGAGAGAAGTCGAATCCGCCGTCTCTCGCAGGATGTTACTTGCAATGTTTCTTTGGGGTACTTAAGGACGACATGTATCTGCGTTGCATTTACACGGTAGCGTGTACCGCGCGGCCAAGGAGAAGTAGAATTCATGTATGGTAATACGTGTATTGTTATTGCACTGATCTAGTGACGTAAGGGGAATTGTTTAAACATAGACGCGATACATGTATGTACATATACATACACATACACACATACATTTACACACGCCATACATGGCAAAAAATGTTGTACAAGTAACGATCCACCGGAATTTTTATGTTGCCTTAACAGGTGTTAAATTTAATGCACAATTTTTCCAATTCAATTTTTCTTACTTTAACAAGGTGAATATGTTAATTTTACGTATATTTGTGTTACTTTTTAACGTATTCCCATGTTGAAGTAATACAAAACTTTTAGTGGACCATTGTTTATACAAAATCTTTTACCGTACGATTCTTCTACACAGTGTCTGTTTTGTGATATAGACGTACGTTCCTCTCCTCGAGTAACGCCTATCACGGGTTCGCATCCCCCCCCCCCCTCCAAAATCGGTGACCATTGCTGGTCATATTTATTAGTAACATTTTTGTGCAAGTCGTGATGTCGATAGAGCAATATTTGCTCTAACCATAGAGAGCGAGAGAGAGAGAGAGAGAGAGAGGCCCAAATTTGTCCGTCAACACACAATGTTTTAATAATTACGTATGTGTACGACTCGTGGGAAACAAGATGGCTGTACTTGGTGGAACTACTCGTGTGACGTATCCGTATTACCATGTTTTGTGAGAATGTAACGTCGTTTTCGTATATCGTCTATATGTTTTGCTCGCAAGAGATACCACACACACTAGAAGAAGAAGGAGGAGGAGGCGTCGTGTTTGCCGAGCGTTAATCGTCGCCGAATCCTTCCGGCTCCTTGAATCGCTCGATCGCAAACTGTATGTATGTGTACGTATATGTGAGTGTGAAATTAGCACACGTCGCGACTTTGATTACACGCTTCAACGATTCTCATCCGCCTCTCGTCGCCGCAGTGAATTTTTGTTGTTTTCATTTCCCTTCTTTTTTAATCTCTTATTTTTCCGCCAAGCAAGATTCATGTTCACGTCGCAAGGGGGGCAAGTCCTCTCGTGACCTTCACGTCGCGGTCCGCCTAAGAAACGAACATCCGTAGCATCTGCAATTTATATAGTACAATGATAATGTCTCGTATAATGACATCACACATATATATATATATATATATATA